CTGGTGCGGGTTGTTTTGTACCGGCGAGTTTGAACAGCTTTTCCGTTTTGTGGCACACCAAGAAGTATATTTTGCCGATGTGACAAAAATAGGTATAGTTCTGGTTCATTCACACTGGGCAGTGTAAGCTGTCGTCACTTATTTGACAGTGTAAGGGAAAAGAGGTCGGTGTCCCTGACGAGTCCGGGGTTGCATGTTTGAGAAATTCTTGCGGGCACCAGTGGCTTACGCGGTAAACGTTTTCCTCGTCCTCCTTTAGCGCAGGAACTGCCTTGGAGAGCACACAGCCGCGGCCTGGTTCCTGGGCTGCGCGTACGCTTGGGCCAGGCTGGGCCGGGCGAGGCTTCCCAGGGCCCGTCAGGAAAATGACAGGCGCCGCTTCTGAAGAGAAAACTGCATCACGCTCTGCCCGGTCTCTCCCGGTGCCCAACAGGTGTGTGTGGCTTCACAGTCGGTCTAAGCTCTGCGACCACAGAGCCCAGTAAGGTAGCAAGAGGCTGCGGGCTCCTCGCGGGGCTCCGGCAAAAAGCCGGTGGTAGTGAGTGCTCTGGGGTCGGTGCGCCTTTGCGGATTCCTAACCCCGCCCCCCCCGACGCGCCCACCCCCTGGTGCGTTTCTGCGAGGTGGTTGGTCGGCTCAGGGCGGCTGCGTGCACCGCAGCGTAAGCGATGATTGGAGGAGCGGAGATAACAGGTTGTCTCCTTAGCCATTCAGCGGCAGGGAAGTCGTTAGTTCCGGGCGGAGGCGTCTGTGACCAGCGTGATCCTCAGGCTTTTTCCTGAGTTAATATGGCTGCGGCCAGTGAGCCGTGGGGTCGCGGGTGAGGGAAGGAGGCGAAGCTTTCCCTGGGCTTTCCCCATGATCCCCTCAGCGATGGCGCTTCGGTCACGGTCCTGGGAGTTGTTGACGGTTTGCAGGAACCCGGGTACTTAATCTTCCCGCTTCTCGGAGATTACTCCCTGGGGTAAAGTGCATGTGCAAGTCGTATTTTATTTTCAACATCGAAGGGTAAACGACCTAACAGCATTGTGACAGTCGTAAAAATTTAAGGACCGGGGTCTGAGATCAGGCCACGCTGTGGCCAAGCATACGTTTTGTTCCCCTTCCAGGGCGCAAAGACTGGGGGGGAGTGGATGGGAATGTTCCTGTCTTGTCCGTATTCGTCATTTTTAAAGATCCGTTTGGTGGTTTCCGTTCTTAGGACGTGGGGTCGCGGCGCTCTCCACCAGTTCCAAGACAGAGGTGGCGCCTGAAGTGGACCCTCTGGTAAATGAGGCTGTTGCCCCAGAGTTCACCAACAGGAACCCCCGGAACCTGGAGCTCCTTGCTGTGGCCAGGAAGGAGCGGGGCTGGGGGACAGTGTGGCCCTCCCGGGAGTTCTGGCACAGGTAACTAAGCCTGCTGGCTACTGACAGAGCAGCGCGCTGTGCCCTGCAGATTGCTTGCACCAGTTCATTCATACTGCTGGGGACTCTGTCCTGAGGAAGCGGAGGTGCGGTGGGCGGAGGAGGGGTTAGCGGAAGTGAGGGGGCGGAAACAAGGAGGTGTCACGGGGAACATTTAAAAAGGGTGATGGTTGAATGGGGGACTGGGTGCCTACTAGGACCCTCTGAGAGAGGAATAAGCCCAGTTATCAGCCAAGAAGAGCATTGCCGGCAGAAGAAACAGCAGCTCGGGTGGGTGTGAGCTTGGTTTGTTTGAAGATCTCTGTGGACAAAGGGGTGAATGGTGTAAGGTGAAAATGGAGAGGCAGGTAGGATACAGATCGTTAACTTGTAAATCAAAGTAAGCGCTTTAGACTTCGTTTCAGTGCAGTGAGAAACTATGAGAGGATTTAAAGTTTGAGCCTGAATTAAAGATCATTCTGGTTACTTTAGGGAGAATGCATTTTTAGAAGCAAGAAGATTAGTTAGGAGTCTGTTATAAAGATGGTTATTTACTGAACACTTTCTGTTTGCCAGGAACTATGTTAGCTGTTTTATATGCATTTAAGTCTTTGATCCGTCTTACACTTATTTTGGTGTTAGCTGGAAAATAAAAGCATAGAGTAAGCTTATCTTTACCCAGTGTAGGGTCAGCAACTTAGCTCTAACTCCTCAAATCCTTTTTTGAAGTAGTTGCTGTGTAAATAAATCTCTGCTCTCAGAAGTACTAAGTTTCTCTTTGATATTTGAGGTTAAGTGAAGTGTTTGGTTTATTATTGAGGATATTCTCATAAGGGCAGAGGAAAAATACCTTTCCCAAGTAAAATCCAGTTTAAGTATGTTGAAATAAATGATCAAAATATTTAGGCATGTGTTCACCAGTGGTCGTTTATCTTTAGGAGTCTTTTATGATATTGTTCTCTTCTCTCATTTAGGCTGCGAGTTATAAGGACTCAGCATCACGTAGAAGCACTTGTTGAGCATCGCAATGGCCAGGTTGTGGTTTCTGCATCCACACGTGAATGGGCTATTAAAAAGCACCTTTACAGTACCAAAAACGTGGTGGCTTGTGAGAGTGTAGGACGAGTGCTGGCAGAACGATGCTTACAGGCAGGAATCAACTTCATGGTCTACCAACCAACTCCTTGGGAGGCAGCCTCAGACTCGGTATATTTGTTTTCATGTACTTATTTAAAAGGCATTGTGTTAATTCTTGACATTAGATACTAACATAATACTAATAGTTCCATACTTCAAGTTATTTTCATGTATCACACTCGGAGGTGAGTGTCCTGATGTGCATTACCTGGTTTCATTCTCACAGCAGCCCAGGGGCAGCACTAATGTTGCTGGTTCTGTGTATAAATACCCCGAGACTGGCTTGCCCAGAGAGTTGG